CCCCCCCCCCCCCCCCCCCCCATATTGTTGTCTAGCGGCTTTGAAGTTCTAGCAGGGGAAGATCGGGTGGGTGCGTGGGCGGAAATGGCATCAGGAACCCCGATCACCTTCCCGAAAGGCAAAGGAGAGACTTCGTCGTGGGGTTTATCGCGCCACCTTTCCTGAATTCTGGGTGCATCCAGAATCACTCGCTGCAGCTTCCCCGATTTGGGAGCAACAGCCTCTCCCTGACAGGGGGGATGCAGGAAATCCGCGCGCCCCAGAAATGCCCCCGATCTGGTGAAGGCAACCCAGGGCCATTCATTTGACAGCCTTCGGTACTCAACGGGGAGCTTCCCGGAGGCTTTCCGCCCCCACCCACCCCGGTGGTCCCGGGAATCACGCTTCAAACAAACCCCTCTCCGCTGGCAGAGGGGGCTGCCGTCCACTCACCCCTTCTGCCGCGGGCTGCTATTGCTTTCGTCCTCTGGGGGCGGGGGGCGAGAGCTGGAGGCAGCCAGCAGATCTGTCAGGCAGCAGGCTGCAATTCTGCAGGGTCAGTTCAGGTAACCTGTAGTAACGGCGGCCTCTGCATGACGTCCGGCAAACCCCGCGCAGTAGCTCTCCTGCAGCCCCGCCGGAGGACGCAGTTCGCTGGCGATTTGGTTCCGCGGTCCCAAGCATTTCAAGGAGCCCATCCCAGGCTGAAATTGGCGGAGGTCAACGGCTTCCCATCCCCGCGAAGAAGACCCACCTCCGTCTCGCGGCTTACCTCGCAGCTCCTCCTGCTGACAATGTGAAGATGAGCGCGTGGCTTTCCCGGGGAGGAGAGAAGGCGAGGGGGGGACCGAACTACCGCAAGCCCCCTGATCTACCGCTTCCCGCAACATCGTGGGGACAGTGAGGAGCTGATGTGGGAGGAGGGATGGAAAGGAGGGGTGTGAATAAAGGATGAGGAGTCGCTAAGCCACGGAGGGTTGGTATTTTTAGCTGAGCGGAGGGGATAGATCACACCACCAGCAAATGGTATATCTTCACGAGATTCATCCATCCCTGTTTTTGCTAATGCCGTACATTCCTCAAAACACAGAAATAAAAATCAGTTTCTAACACATTTTTTCTCAAGAACCCTTCGGACAAATTAGCTGGCTGATCAATGATAATTTCCTCTGGACTGCAGATCAGAACAAACAGCTTCCCTGAGACCCTCCAAATGAGTGGGATTTAAAGGGATTTTGCAGGTCATAAACTTGCCACTTTGCTACATCATGTTTCAAGCACAGATCAAGTGAATAAGTTCTGATTGGGTCTGCATATGACAAGGAGCGTTTTTTGATTAGCTGTGGTTTACTGAATAAGCAAGAACTGACTGGGTTCCCACATGCTATGATGTAAATTATGATTTACTGTACAAATTACAGTGACTGAGTTCACATAACATAAGGCAAAATGAAGGAAACTTAGGGCTGAGTGTGACGTATAAATTTAATCTTGGGGAGGAAAGACCTATTAAATCTGTGGTCTACAAGCATACAGTATGCCAGAGCCCCCCTCTTCATTGATATTAAATGGTACTTTCCAGATTTGCTTGTATTCGTCTTATGGAAATAATTGATATTTATATTCCAGCAGGCAGCTCAGTTGCTCAGAAAAGAACAGAGGAGGTAACCATAGAACCATAGAACCACAGAAAGCCCTAGAAGCCTATGGGAAGAAAGAACCCCACTGAAGACTACGTACTAATTACATTCATATAGGAGAATCTATAAAACAAATATGCTAATTTTGTTGTTCAGTCGTTAAGTCGTGTCCGACTCTTTTAACACTAATATTTGGACATCCTACCAGCATCCTAGTAAGACATGAAACCACCTGCCTATGGCAGGCCTGAAGTTAAGACCTGGTTTTCCTGCCAGCTGTGAGCTGAGTTCCTGGGTTACAGACAAGTGGCAGGAGTTGTTGCTGGTTATAGGAACTGCTCAGGTTTGGGGGAATTGTCTTCAGTATGGGATTCCTTTATGGAATTCCTTTATGGAATCCCAGTTGGTGGGCCTAG